GCACGTGGAGGGGCCGCGGGGATGTGCGGTGAGAGCGCCGGGATGCGCTCCGAGCACCGGGACCCCCTTCCAAGCGCCGGGATGCGCTCCGAGTACCGGGATGCGCTCCGGGTACCAGGATGCGCTCCGAGTACCGGGATGCGCTCCGGGTACCGGGATGCGCTCCGAGTACCGGGATGCGCTCCGAGCCTCCGCACCGACCGACGGCCCCGGCTCCGAGCCCCGGCACCCGCGGGCGGGGTTTGGGGGGCGCGGAGGGTGGGATCGGGGGGCAGCGGGGACACCTGGAAACGAAGCTCCGGCCGCGACCCAGCGGACTCGTTCCCCACCCCGCTACAGCTGCGGGGGAAACTGAGGCACGGGCACCGTCACCTTCACGGCTCTTTCACGGCTCTTGCCCCGTTTGTCGCCCCACCGGAGGACCGGGGATGGGGTCCGGCGCTCCCCACACCTGCCCGGGGCTGGTGAAAAGGGAAGTCACCGTTGCTTCAGGCCAGGGGAGGGGGAAAGCTGAGCACCTCCCGTGCCTCAGTTTCCCCCGTGTAACCACGGCAGTGCTGCTCGGGACCCAGGACATCACACTTGGAGGGTGGGTTTCGGACCCTGCTCTCGCCCACCCCCATCCCGCACCCACCCCCGCAGCCCCACAGGGACATCCCGGGTGGGTGACAACCCCCATTCCCACCCCATGGCCCGGGCGGGGCGTGCGGGCACTGCGGGATTGGATCCCTGGACCATCTGGGGACCCCGCGGGCGCCCTGCTCACCCCCCGGCTGCCGAGGGGACTGGGATACCGGCAGGAAAAATTCCCGTTCCCGTTGCCATGGCTTCCCATCAGGATGCTCTTGCATCACGGCCAGCCCGAGGGGCCGGGGCTGCGGGGGTCCCCCCGGGGGCTCAGCGCAGGGTCCCTCCAGGGCTCCGAGCGGGGGGCTCCGGGGCAGCGCTGCGGCCCGAGAGCGGGAGCGCGGGGGAGGGCGGGGGGGGCTCCGGGCAGCGCCAGCCGCTTGAACACGGTTTGGAGCCGGTGACGTCTGCTCCGGCATCGCCGAGGGAGGAGAACGGGCGGCAGAGCGCGGGGCCGGCTCCGGGCAGCTCCGGGGGGTCCCTGCCGGCCATGAGCCCCCCGGGCCGGCCGGGGGGGCCGCCGGGGGACGGGGGGCTCCGCTGAGCCCCAGCCATGGAGCCGCGCCGCTGGCCGCTGCTCTGGGGCGTCCGCGCCGTGCTGGTGCACGTCACCGTGCTCACGGCGGGGCAGCGCCCGCAGGAGAGACCCCCGCGGCCGGCGGGATGGTCGCCGGGCCCTTCATCCCCGTGGGCGCCCACCCTGGAGCCGGGAGCGCCGGGGGACGCCGAGGGCTCGGCGGCAGCGCTGGCGTTCCTGCGCACGGGGGATGCCCAGCGCCTGGCCCGGGCCAACTGCAGCGGGGGGGTCGCGGCGGGACCCCCCGGCCCGGGGCCCCCCCCGGCCCTGCGAGCCGCCCTCCGGGCCGCCCCCGAGGCGCTGGCGCACACCGCCAACTTCCTCAACATGCTCTTCCAGACCAACGACATCCGCGAGGCCAGCGTGGCCGAGGACGTGGAGTGGTACCAGGCGCTGGTCCGCAGCCTGGCCGAGGGGCACCCCTGGGTGCGCCGGGCGGTGCTGGCCCTCGACGCCCACCCGCTGGCCCCCAAGCCCCGGCTGATGCTCCAGGCCACCAAGGGGGACGGGCAGATCCTGCTGCAGGACGTCTCGGCCTCCGCCCCCAGCCTGGGCAACCTCAGCTGGGACAACGAGTGGTTCAACGCCCTCAAGTCGCAGCGGACCCCCCAGCTCCGCAAGCGCGTGCTCAGCAACGACCTGCGCAGCATGGAGACCCCCAAGTGGCAGCGGGGGGACAGCTACGTGGGCGACCCGGGCCACGTGAGGTGGTCGCCGCCGTTCCTGGAGTGCCGGGAGGGCAGGTTCCTGCCCACCTGGGCGGTCACGCTCTCCTCCGCCTTCTACGGGCTCAAGCCGGACCTCAGCCCCGAGTTCAAGTAAGCGGAGCCCGGAGGGGCTGGGGGGGAGGAGGGGGGTTGTTAAGAGGGCTGGGGGGTGCCCCGTGTGTGTGTGTTGGGGGGGGCAGCTGGAGGTGTCACCCCGGGGTGTGCCAACACCCTGCCTGTGTCCCTCGGGGGGGGTGTGAGTGCTGCACGTGTGTGTTTGCACATCCCCGGGCACGGAGGTGACCCCTGCCCTCCCTTGGTCCCCCCTTGTGCTGCCACCCCCAGACCCCCCCCGTCATGGCCGTGCTGGGGGTGGGTGAGCCAGGCTGGGACCTCTCCTGGGAGCTGGGAGTCTCCAGACATGGCTCCGGGGGGGAACATCCCTGTCCGAGGGTCTGGTCCCTGTCCCCCCAGTCCCTGCACCAGTGCCAGCCTGGAGACGGTGATGGGGCACAGCCACGCTGGGTGGGGGCACGGGGTGGGCCCACATGACCCCCGGGGCTGACCCCATCCCTGTGCACAGGGGTGTGGTGCGGGTGGACGTGGAGCTGCGGGATGTGGCCATCGACCAGTGCGCCAGCGGGCCAGGCTGGTTCTCAGACACACATCGCTGTGACCTCAACAGCACCCAGGTACCCTGCACCCCCACACCCCATCCCCGCACCCACCAGGGCTGGAGCACCCCCACACCCCATCCCCACCCCAGGCAGGGCTGGGGCACCCCCACACCCCATTCCCACCCCCAGCAGGGCTGGGACACCCCCACACCCCATCCCTGCATCCACCAGGTCTGGAGTACCCCCACACCCCATCCCCGCCCCTGCCAGGGCTGGGGCACCCCCACTCCCCGCCCTCGGCAGGGCTGGGGCACCCCCACACCCCATACCCGTGCCCAGCAGCGCTGGGGCACCCCCACACCCCATCCCTGCACCCACTAGGGCTGGAGTACCCCCACACCCCATCCCTGCACCCTGCAGGGCTGGGGCACCCCCACACCGAACCACCCCCGGGCTGCCCCTGCCCCGTGTCCCTCCCTCCGGGCTGAGCTTTATCCTCTCCCGGCCGATCCATCTGCTTCGTTCAGCTGCTCCCGCACCCGCAGCGAGAGGTTTATTGTGCAAATCTTCCCTCCCCACCGCCAGCCGCGGGCGTGTGACCCGGGGCCGCTCCCTGCCCGGGCACCGCGGGCACGGGGGGTTGGCAGCCGGTGGGCACATCACCCCAACTCCCCCATCCTGGCGCCCACCCGGTGATACCCGAGCACTTTCAGGGCTCGGCTCCACCGTCAGCACCCCCAGCCAGGGCAAACCCCACCTTCCTCCCAGCTTTGGAGTCCCACCCCGGCGGCCAAAAACTGTCCCCACGTGGGAAAGGCGTCACCGGCCGCTGTTTCCTGCCAGCGGTGCCCTCCGGAGGGACGGGCTCAGTGCCGGGCATCCCTCCAGAAAACAACAATGCCCAGCAGGGCCGCCAGCGCGGCCCGTTCGGGGCAGGATGCGCCGGGGGAGAGGGGATTAGGGAGCAGTGCCTGGGCTGGCACTGCCGTCACGGCTGGGCAGGATTAGGGCGCTCGGCTGCATTAGGTGTCCATTTAGGTTTTAGGGAGGGATTTGGGGCCAAGCTCTGGCTTTTAATTCTGAAATGTTTAACCACTGATTCCTCCTGAGCGCGTGGGGGGGAGGATGGTGCGGGGTCAGGTAGCCGTGAGCTGGGGGCTGCTGGAGCCCCTGGGGCTGGGGGGATGCAGATGACGGGGGGAACACAGGGGGTGGGGGACAAACCCTTGCCCTCCTGAGTGTCTCAGCCTGTCTCCTTCAGTGTGTGCCCCAGGAGAGCCATGGCTTCGTCCTCGGGAGGTACCTGTGCCGGTGCAGGCCGGGCTTTTACGGGGCCGGCGGAGTGGCCAGCGGTGCCTGGGCAGGTGGGTGCCGTGCCAGGCCCCGGGGGCCTCTTTTCACCCGGTTTTACCCATGGATACAGCAGTGGGATCCAGGGCTGGGGGGCTTTGGGAAGCCAGAACGTGTGCCCTGGCACAGGAAGTGCCACCAAGCCCTTGGTTGTGGTTATTTCACCTGCATGAGGTGATTCCACCTGGACACGGTGTTTTCACCTGGACACGGTGTTTTCACCTGGATACGGTGTTTTCACCTGGATACGGTGTTTTCACCTGGATGTGGTGATTCCCCCTGGATATGGTGTTTTCACCTGGATGTGGTGATTCCCCCTGGATGTGGTGATTCCCCCTGGACGTGGTGGTTCCCCCTGGGTGCAGTGATTCCACCCTGCCCTCCCTCTGTCCCCAGGGCCGGACGGGGGGTCCCGCCTGGCGTGCTGGCCCTGCCGCCCGGGCTGTGCCACCTGCGAGGATGACAAGCCGTGCCTGATCCAGGAGGACCCGGTGCTGCGGGCGGCCGTGCTGTCGTGCCAGGCCTGCTGCATGCTGGCCATCTTCCTCAGCATGCTCGTCTCCTACCACTTCAGACGGAGCAAGGCAAGGTGTCCCCAAGTCCTCCCCCTCCGCTGTCACCCCCTGCCCTGCTCCCCTCCCACCCCAAACCCTGCGGTCTCAGGGAAGGGGGATCCCCCTGCCCTGTCTCCTCTGGGCACCAGCCGAGGCTCCCGGCTGCACCCTCACACCTCTGTCCCTGCAGAGGATCCGGGCGTCGGGAATCATCCTCCTGGAGACCATCCTCTTTGGATCCCTCCTCCTCTACTTCCCCGTGAGTATCCAGCTGTTCCCCCGAGCTGAAAACCTCCGGGGTGGAGTTCACAGGATGGAACTGCCCCAAGCAGGGCACGGGCACGGCTCCACCTAATTGTTAATTTTGCTGGCACGGTCCCTGGGGGCTGCGGCATAAACCTTCTCAGAAAACCAAATCCCTTTTCTCCTGCTGGCTGCGGGAATTAATCCCTGCCCAAATCCCCTCTCCCTCCCCGCACGAGCTTCCCGCAGGGTCAAGGGGAGGGGGGGGGCTGGCTTTGAAAGCAGGTGATTCCCGAGGCTCTGGAGGTGGGATCCAGGCCGTGCCATCCGTGATCCCTGCCTCCCGCCGCTCCAGGTGTTCATCCTCTACTTCAAGCCCAGCATCTTCCGCTGCATCGTCCTGCGCTGGGTGCGGATGCTCGGCTTCGCCACCGTCTACGGCACCATCACCCTCAAGCTGTACAGGTACCCACGGTGGGGGGCTCGGGGCTCGGGACCCCCGTGCTGAGGGGTTTGGGTGGTCGGGACCCCCGTAATGGGGAGCAGCGGGGTGGTCTGGACTCCCACAGTGAGGGGATGTGGGTGGTCGGGACCCCCCGGAGCAGGGGGAATTTGGGTGCTCAGGACCCCCCTAATGGGGAGCAGCGGGGTGGTCTGGACTCCCACAGTGAGGGGATGTGGGCGCTTGGGACCCCCGCAGTGGGGGGAATTTGGGTGCTCAGGATCCCCATGGTGAGTGGGTTTGGGTGCTTAGGACCCCTGCAGTGGGGGGGTTTAGGTGCTCAGTACCCCTGCTGCGGGGGGGGTTGGGTGCTCAGGACCCCCACAGAGGGGAGGTTTAGATGCTCAGGACCCTCGCAGTGGGGGGGATTGGATGCTCAGGACCCCCATGGTGAGTGGGTCTGAGTGCTCAGGACCCCTGCAGTGGGGGGATTTGGGTGCTCAGGACCCCCATGGCAAGTGGGTCTGGGTGCGGGGTTTGGATGCTCAGGACCCCCACAGAGGGGAGGTTTAGATGCTCAGGACCCCTGCAGCAGGGGGATTTGGGTGCTCAGGACCCCCATGGTGAGTGGGTCTGGGTGCTCAGGACCCCCGCAGTGGGGGATTTGGATGCTCAGCACCCCCACAGCAGAGAGGGCCGGGGGCTCACCCCTGTGCCCCCCCCCAGGGTGCTGAAGGTGTTCCTGTCCCGCTCGGCCCAGCGGGCGCCCTACGTGTCGAGCGGGCGGGTGCTGAAGCTGCTGGCGCCCATCCTGCTCCTGGTGCTGTGGTTCCTGGCGGCCTGGACCATCGGGATGCTGGAGAACGTCAACAAGAACATCCCGCTGGTGATCCGTGCCCAGACCACCCACGGGCTCCACTTCTACATCTGCGGCCACGACTGCTGGGACTACATGATGGTCATCGGTGAGACCACCCCCAGGGCACCCCAGGGGTCCCCACAGCTCTACATGATGGTGATCAGTGAAGCCACCCCCAGGGCACCCCAGGGATCCCCACAGCCCTGGTGAGACCACCCCCAGGGCACCCCGGGGGTCCCCACAGCCCCAGGACCCCCTAAATGTGCCATGCAGGGTTTTCGTTTCCTTGTCCCATTTAATCTGCTCCAAGGAGGGGTTCCCATCACCCTGGCCCTGGGTAAATCACCTGGTGCAGCTCTTTGAGTCCTGGGGGTCTTTGGAAAGGCCGTGCCAAGGGGTGATCCAAGCCCAGCACATTCCAACAGCATCCGGGGCGAACGTGCCGGGCTGGATGCAGTGGGGTCCTGCTGGGCAGCAGGTGCCCCCCAAAACACGCAGGGTGCCCAGGGCTGGGTGCTCAGCATCACTCCCTGCTCTGCCCCACAGCCGAGATGCTGTTCCTGCTGTGGGGCAGCTTCCTGTGCTACGCCACCCGTGCCGTGCCCTCCGCCTTCCACGAGCCCCGGTACATGGGCATCGCCCTCCACAACGAGCTCATGATCTCCGCTGCCTTCCACGTGGTCAGGTAGGACACGGGGCCCGGGAGGGGCTGGGAACGGCGATTCCCATCCCTGGAGACGCTCAGGAACCGTCCCCGAGCAGGGGGGAACCGTGGATCGCCGGGCAGGGGGAAGCTGTGGGGTCTGGGGGTGCCTCAGTGGGACCTGGCGCTGCCCTTCTCTCCCCTTCCAGGTTCATCATCATCCCCTCCCTGCATCCTGACTGGACTCTGCTCCTCTTCTTCGCTCACACCCACGGCACCGTCACCATGACCCTGGCCCTGCTCTTCATCCCCAAGGTACCGTGTCCCGGGAAGGGAACGGAGCTGGGAAAGGGGCTGGAGCAGCAGGAGCAGCTGAGGGAGCTGGGGGGGCTCAGCCTGGAGAAAAGGAGGCTCAGGGGGGACCTTCTGGCTCTGCAAGTCCCTGACAGGAGGGGGGAGCCGGGGGGGGTCGGGCTCTGCTCCCAGGGAACAAGGGACAGGAGGAGAGGGAACAGCCTCAGGTGGCACCAGGGGAGATTTGGCTCGGATTTGGGGGGAAATTTCTTAGTGGAAAGGGTTGTAAAGCCTTGGAATGGGCTGCCCAAGAAGGTGGTGGAATCACCATCCCTGGAAGCGCTCAAAAACACGTGGATGTGGCACCTGGGGACGCAGTTTAGTGGTGACACGGGTTAAAGGTTGGCCTCGACTTTAGAGGGCTTTTCCAACCCTGGTGATCCCACGATTCCAACGCTCAGCCCGGGGACTCTGGGAGCTGGGGGCTGGGGTCTCCTGGCGCTTCAGGGACCCCCTCGGTGAGTGCCCTCTCCTGGCCCCCCGCAGTTCCTGCACAGGGGCTCTCCGCTGCGGGAGGAGATCACGGCCGAGGTGTACGAGGACGAGCTGGACATGCGGCGCTCGGGCTCCTGCCTGAACAGCAGCATCGCGTCCGCCTGGAGCGAGCACAGTCTCGACCCCGATGACATTCGGGTGGGTGGCACACTCAGGACCTTCTTTTGACGCTGGTTGTGCAGAGTAAGAGGTGCCTTTCGCAATCTTTTCCTGATGCAAAGCGAAGGGGAGGGGGGGGAGAAGGGGCTGCAGGGTGACCCTCCCCGGGCTGGAGGGGACGGGCAGCGCAGGGCGGGGGGGTTTGGGGACGCAGGGGCAGCCTGGGCGGTTCGGGGGGGCTTCTTTTTACATCCCCCACTTTACGTGCCCTCCTCTCTCCCCTCCCTCTGCCGCGCCCGGCGCAGGAGGAGCTGAAGAAGCTCTACCGGCAGCTGGAGGTGCACAAGACGTGGCGGATGGCGACCAACAACCCCCACCTGCCCAGGAAGCGCAGCTCCCGCCGCAGCCTCGCCCGCTCCATCCTGCGGCGCGGGGCCGAACCGCCCGAGGCCCCGTCCCGCCGGAGCAGCGCCGGGGACCACCGCGGGAGCATCCCGAGCCGCCGCGGCTCCTCCGCCAGGCGCCCGCTGGACGGGAGGATGCGGGACGAGGGGTCCCGGCGCCGCTCCTCGGCCCTGCGCAAGTCCCGCAGCTCCGAGGGGCTCCCCCGAGGGTCGCCCGCCCCCGAGGAGCCCTCGCCGGGGAGGGAGGCGATGGAGGTGACCTTGGAGCAATCCGACAGCGACTCCCTGGACGCCGCCCCGCTCATGTGCAAGTCGGCCAGCGCCCAAAACCTGTCGGGGCACTGGCAGAGACCCCCGGCCCGGGCGCCCGCCCTGCAGAAGTCGCACAGCGTCGTCACCGGGGCGCGGGAGGAGGCCCTGCTGGCGGCCAGCAGAGCCGCCCGGGAGGGGTGGCACAGCAGCAGGCAGCTCTCAGCCCCGGCCTCGAGGCACCCCCCCGGCCGCGCCCCTCCCGGGGACGCCGGGAAGGCCAAAATCCCCGCCAAGAGCTGCTCCCAGGAGGACGCGTCCCCCCCGGGCGATGCCAAGGTGCAGAAACACGTCACCTACGCTCCCATCAAGAGCGTCAGCATCGACAGCGCCCACCCGCCCAGGAAGGTGCGGGTGGCCGTGAGGAAAACGCCCCCCGTGCCCCCCGTGCGCTACGAGAGCCTGGGGAGGCACTCGGTGCCCGCCGGGGACTCCCTGGAGCCGGAGGAGCCACCGCGGGACCCCCCGGCAGCGGCGGGAGAGGAGGAGGAGGGGACGCCGGAGGGACAGGGGACACCGGAGGGACAGGGGACACCGGAGGGACACCCGGGGCACTCGACCCCCCCCGCGGGGAAGGGGGGGCTGCTGAGCCCCCCACCCCCCATCTCGGCGCAGGTCTGTCCCTGGGAGCTGATCCAGGACGAGATCCTGAGCAGGAAGCAAAAAGCCGCCGAGGCAGCAGAGTCGGGGACCGCCGGTGACGCGGAGACCACCGAGCCCAAACCGCCCCCCGCCAAGACCTTCCGGAGCCTGGGCCTGGCCATCAAAGCCCTGAACCGCTCCCGTGGGAAGAGCGTCCTCAGAGGGAAGAGGGAGAGCGAGGGGAGCTTCAGGAAGAGGGGGAGCAGCAGGAGGGAGAAGTCCCTCGGGGGCACCGGCCCCGACCCTGCTGCCAAAAGCCCCGAGGGGGGCAGGCAGAGGCCTGAGCCCCCCAGCCGTGGGTACACGGTGCCCTGCCAGCACAACAACAACGCTGCCACCCCCGGGGAAGCCACGGGCTGGGGGGACAGCGGGACAGAAGGACACTGGGACAGTCTGGCTGGTGGGGACGAAGTGGCGGAGCAGTTTCCCAGTGGGAAAACACAGGTGGAGCCCCAGGAAGGGGATGGGGCTCCTGGGCTGGATCCCGGGAAGGATGCTCCTGCAGTGGATCCAGGGAAAGATGCTCCTGCAGTGGATCCAGGCAAAGATGCTCCTGCAGTCACGCTGGAGGAAGGAACAGCCGAAGGGCTCCAGGGGACCAGCGGCTCCATCCAGCCCCAGGAGCACACGGAGGAGGAGCAGCCACCTGCAAAGCCCACCCCAAGCAGCCCCCAGCCCTCCACCACCAGCGTGCAGGGAGAGGCCAGGGAGAAGCCGGACGCTGGGGTTTTTCCCCCAGGATCCCTCAGAATCCCAGCGGGAAGGGGAGCCCTGCTGCGCCAAGAGGCCGTTGGTTCCCGGGAGGACGGTGGGTTCCCGGTGGGTGAGGAGAGCCTGGACAAGGTGCTGGAAAAAGGGAGCAGCCAGGCTGAGCCCCTCAGTCCTGGGGGGAGCCAGGGCACTGATGGAGCCTGGGATGCAGCGGGGAAAGCTGGGAGTGGGCAGGGAGGGATCCGTCTTGGGGAATCCCAGGAAGATTCCAGAACTACAACAGGGGGAGTGGGAGAGGCAGCTCTGGCTGCAGACAAAGGGAGAGGGCAGCAGGGATCCCCCAAATCCGGAGAAGGTGTGGAGCAGCCTGGGATGGGGCTCCCAGCAGTGCCCAAACCTTCATCCCAGCGAGCTGGATCCGTGGACAGCAGAAAGGCCACCGTCTGTCCGTGGGAAGTGGAGGATGAGCCACGTCCTAGAACAGAAATCTGCCCCTGGGAAGAGGCTGCAGCTCCAGCAGGGAAGGAGGGATTGAGTCAGGACACCTCCAAAAGGGAAGGCAAGCCAGGATCCAGAGGAGGGGGAGATCCCAAAGCAAAGCTGGCAGGGCTGGGCAGCCATCGGGAAGAGCACAGGGACAGCGGGATCTTCGCAGAGCTCGTCAGGGAAAGCCTGGAAAAAGCCGAGTCCAAGAAATCCCAGAGTATGGAGAGCATAAAGGAGGAGATCTGTCCCTGGGAGAGCCTGGGCACCGAGAAACCCCTGGAACAACCTCCTGCCAGGAGCACAGCACTGCCCAAATCACCTTCGGGGAAATCCCAGAGCACGGAGAGCCTGAAGGCAGAGATCTGTCCTTGGGAGGCTCAGGAGCCCAGATCCAGTGACAAAGCTGAAATCTGTCCCTGGGAAGGGGCTGAACCTCCATCAGGTAAAGAGAAACTCAGACCATCCACTGTGAGCAAAAGCCCTTCTGCAAGTCAAGGTCTCCTGAAAGAAACTGGAGTTGGTGCCTCTGGAAAGGAGGAGAAAGCAAAGAGAGACCGTGAGTCCGTCTGTCCCTGGGAGAGCCCGGACATGGAGCAGCCACAGGCCAAACCCCACCCTGGGAGCAGAGAGCCATCAAAGAAATCAGCAGAGATCTGTCCTTGGGAGGCCCAGGAGCGCAAAGCCAGTGACAGAGCAGAAATCTGTCCCTGGGAGAGCACGGAGCAGCCCCCAACCAAACCCCGTGCAGGGAGCACAGAGCCTTCAAAGAAATCCCAGAGCACGGAGAGCCTGAAGGCAGAGATCTGTCCTTGGGAGGGTCAAGAGGTCAAATCCAGTGACAGAGCAGAAATCTGTCCCTGGGAAGTGGCTGAACCTCAGATGGACAGAGGAGCAGCCCCAGGGAAGGACAGAGTCCCATCAAAACAAGCCTCCAAACTTGTGGAGAAGGGGAGCAGAGATCGTGAGTCCATCTGTCCCTGGGAGAGCACGGACACGGAGCAGCCACAGGCCAAACCCCACGCTGGGAGCAGAGCCCTGCCCAAGTCACCTTCAAAGAAATCCCAGAGCGTGGAGAGCCTGAAAGCAGAGATCTGTCCTTGGGAAGCCCAGGAGGTCAAATCCAGTGACAGAGCAGAAATCTGTCCCTGGGAGAGCACGGACACAGAGCAGCCACAGGCCAAACCCCGTGCAGGGAGCCCAGCCCTGCCCAAATCACCTTCAAAGAAATCTCAGAGCACAGAGAGCCTGAAAGCAGAGATCTGTCCTTGGGAGGATCAGGAGCTCAAATCCCGTGACAAAGCTGAAATCTGTCCCTGGGAAGGGGCTGAACCTCCCTCCCAGCAGCCAAA